GTGTGGTACTCGGGAGGCTTGCTCTTACAGCCTCCGCATAGGAGAAAGGGAGAGAGACAGGTGACGACTCACCGAGGGGGAGGCCTGCGCATCCTGCCTCCTGAATGTTCTCTACAGCCCCTTCGATCTTCTCCTTTGCGCATTGCGCAACCCCTGCCAGCTCGTTTGCGAGTTCAGCAATATGGTCGCCAGCGGCGGCCACCCTCGCCTCCAGGGTGCCGATGAGTTCTTTCGTCTGCGACTCAAAGCGGGTGAGTACAGCTTCCGTCAATGATTTGCTTACCGCGCTCTCTATGACCGCCTTGGCATAGACGGCTAATGCTATGCAACACTCCGACGCCCATGCCATCTTCCCTGAGAGTCCCACTCCTACATGATGAAGGCCCGTGATGAGGCCCTCCGCCGTGGGTTCTCCAGCCGCCGGTACCATCTGATTTTTCCGCAAGACAGCGAGAGCTTCGTCCATGGTCTAAATCTTGTCCACCGCTGCCGTAAAGGTGGCTGTAGCCGGTGTGGACCGCAGTTGCTTGGTAGGCGGTGCGCCTGTCGCTACAGTTGTCGATGTCTTTCTTGTCTGCGAGGCGGTTTGTGGCGATGCTGCCGGTCCTCGCCTGGTAGCGTCCTGGGGCATCCTGCTGTCCGTATGTATTGCTGCTGTTTCATGTACGCTATAGGCCGTCGCCCAGAGGGATAACTGACCGCACGACGTAGCCCGCTCCTATTGGCTGACGATCGTGGGAAAGTTGCCGTAGGTGGTGGTACGAGTGAAAGGAGCTCAGAGAGAACTTAATGTGAAGTCAGGATGGTGGACGGGAGTCAGAGATGTGCTTTCTGCCAGCAAGCCGCCGAAGTATCATGGGCGTCTACTCTGCCTTCTAGGTTTACATGGCCACGTGGCGGGTCATCGCATCGCCGTGCGGCCGAATTGAGTACTCGCATTTCCGTCGTCTTCCCCGTGTGAGCAGAGCAGCTGCTTTGGGCCCTGGCCACTATGCGGCGTCCTGCCGGTAATTTTTACTTTTCTTTCCACCTTGTGGTCGCACCCATACATCGGATATCTCGCTAGTATTCACCCACACCTGTCGACATAGTAAAGAGTCCCCACAATCCGACACGGTGAACCCCAGACTTCAAACTTGTTCACTGGCACTCAGCCCTATTATATCTCAGAGATCACAGATCACCCTCAAGAGCGCGATTCTGTAGAACGGTGCGGTCGGTCGTAGCTACCAGCAACCATGGAATACGCCCACTATCTGCCTCGGGACTTGGTGGTGTCCTTTCTGGGCCTTGTCTTCGTCTCCGTTGTCATGCGATCACTCCTGATGTGGCAAAGGCGGACTCGGGGCAAGCTGTTACCTCCGGGTCCGCGACACTTACCCATTCTTGGCTATCTCAATGCTCCCAAATTCAAGCCGTGGTTTGCTTTCAAGGAGATGTCCACACGATACGGTGAGCCCACCGACCAGGCTAATAGATCCCGTATTCTGACTCTCCTGTCTTCTAGGCTCCGATATATTGTACTTCCGGAGGTTTGGCCAGCACAATATTGTGCTCTCCGACCCCTCCGTGATCACAGAGTACCTCGTAAAACGGACTACGAATACTTCAGATAGGGTGCACAGCCCCTCTGTCACCTTGTGAGTGGCTTGCGGCCCCCCTTCGTTGTACGGAGACTTGACGAAGGCGATTAGGAGTACCCTCAACAGGAGGCTTGCGTTCATGCCCTATGCGGCAGAATGGAGCGACTGCAGACGGGCGTTCTGGCAGCACTTCCATCCCGGCGCTTTAGGACGATACAAGCATGTGCAATTGGCAGTCGCTCACCGCTTTCTTCTGAAGCTGCTCGAGAAACCTGCTGGCTTCCAGCAACACATACGATAGTAAGTGTCGCGGTTCTCGAATACAACGGTAAACAGGATCAAAATCTGACTGATGTATCTTGCCTTTATCTTGCCTTGGATGCAGTACCTTCGCGGCGACCATACTGAAGATTACATACGGCATTGACATTGACGACGAGAACGCTGAAATTGTCCAGGTTGTCGAGAACGCTGGCAAGGGTCCTGGACAGACCCTGATCCCTGGCAGGTTTCTGGTGGACTCCATCCCATTCCTACGTTTTGTGCCTGCGTGGATGCCAGGGGCCGGATTTCAGAGGCAGTTTGCTGAATGGGGTGCTGCGAGCAGGAAGTTGAAGGATTTTCCGTACGTACGTCGCAACACGGCATTCGTGAGTATCTCAACCTGCACTAGTCTGTGTCGCTCGTGTATCTTGATGGTCCGGGTTGCTGCAGACAGATAACGCTCTGCCTTCTTGCGCAACGATAGCCGACACCTTGCTTTCCGAGAAAGGAGAGACCGGAGAATATTCCTCGGGAATAGGACAGGAAGATCTCGTGAAGACTGTGTGTGGTGCTGCATATGTCGGTGAATACACCGTATCCCGTCCATCCATGGATAGCCGCTGACGTACCGAGATCCCACAGCTGGTGCAGATACGGTACGTCCTACGTCAACGCAGGATGGATCTATCTAAGCATGTAACCACCAGACATACTCGACACTGCAAGCTGCCTTCCTAGCCCTATCCTTGTATCCCGACGTCCAGAGGAAAGCACAAGCGGAGCTATTCGCCGTGGTCGGACCTGACCGTCTACCCGACTTTGGCGACCGGGAGGCCCTCGTGTACGTCAACGCATTGGTCAAAGAGATGCTCCGGTGGTTCAACGTTACACCCCTTGGGATGGCCCACCGCACAATGGCGGACGATGAGCTCAACGGTTATTTCATACCCGCTGGAACCATGATCACGCCCAACATATGGTATTTTTTTTCGTTCGTCCATGCTCGCGGTAGACCCCCTCACATCAAGCACTCCGTGAATAGGGCGTGCATGCACGATCCTGCAGAGTACGAAGACGCAGATGAGTTTCGTCCAGAACGCTTCATCCGCGATGGGAAACTAGATTCTACTGTCCGCGATCCCCTGGCATTCGCGTTCGGCTTTGGAAAACGGCACGTATCATGATGTCTTCCCTGTTATGTCACCTGTTATGTCAAGTGCGCATCTAAAGGGTCCTCCCGGGGACAGGATCTGCCCCGGCCGCTACTTCGCAGATACTGCCCTCTTTATAAACGTCGCCTCCGTCCTGCACGTCTTCGACATCACCCCTCCTCTGGACGAGAACGGCAACCCGATCCGCGTCAAAATGGAGATGTCTGACGGCTTCATATCGTGCGCGGTACACGTCCTTTCCCCAATCTCTAATATGGCTTATCCGTTGGGTTTCCATGGGACGGTCACAGGTACCCCGAGGACTGCCGCTGCACAATCCGCCCCCGCTCGGAGAAGGCCGCAGCGTTGATCCTGAAAACTCAAGGCTAACTCGGTAGTTTCTATGATACATACAATATGACCGAACGCCAAGCGAGAGCCGATCACAAGGTTGACTGAACCTTACATCGCGAGTGACAGCCGTGGATTGTGTCACGCCAAAATGGATTGTATGCGTCACATACAACAGCTGTCTATCATGTACACTTGTACAAATCATTCTTGTTCTTGTCGTGAAGAGGATCGGGTCAGTACTCAATGGCCAGTTTCCGCGCTCCTTCATGGGAGCGCGAGGAACAGAGGCATGAGCTTGCTGAGGTTCGGAGTGCCCACTCCGGTGACCGGGTCCCATCCCTCGGTGCTAATAGGATCATGAGCACAAGGCACTAAACCATAGAAGCCCAGATACTTACGCGGTGAAGCCGGGCGTGCCTATGGATCCAATAAGATCATGTCAGTCTGCAATTCGACAGGCAGGATCATGCAAACCTACCGCAACCCTGGTTTCCACCGGTCGTGATGTCGTTGAAAGCAGCCTGGAACTCATCGGTGTAGATCTATCCTCGCGCATGAGCCTAGGTCAATAAGCTCCCTTCCTTCACTTACCGCTGGGTTGATGAATCCTAGCAGCACATGTCAGACTGATACAAGAGTACGCGCACATGTGCATAACACTCACCAACGGGTCCTTTCCCGGCAGCGATGCGAGCATCGTTGATGAGCGTGATCATAGAGCCGACGACGGGCGAGGAGCACGAAGTCCCGAAGACAAGCTCGAATTCACCAGCAACCGCTGGAAGAAAAGACCATCAGCCGCGTGACTCCTTCGTTCCCGTCATCCACTTACCAACAACATAGTTGGCGCTAACCAGGTGAAGTTCAGTAACAAGCTCCTCAACAGCAGCGAAGGACATGGACTAACCCGTTCGCAGAGAGATCAGGGAAACCCCGAGCCACGCCCGAGTTGTTGAACTGCTCCCCGGTGAACGGCGGCGGGTGGTTGGTCAAAAAGCTCGTCACCGCAGTAGCCTGATAGTCCGGCATTTCGAAGAAGTTACTGAAGCCTCCTCCGCTGAAGATGACCTGCTCGCACGCGCCCTCTGGATCGTTGACAGTCGATCCGGGGTTGATCTGCGTCGCCCCAACACCAGTCACGAACGGACAAGTGACTGGGAAGTCGGGGTTGAACTGAACACCCCCACGGCGCGCAGGTTGGCCTATGGAACGGGACAGGTTAAGGTGAGTTCGGGAATAATTGAGCAGATAAAAAAACACTACCATTTCCATCCAGGCACACGCCCCCACCACCTGCAACACCATCGTCCCCGGAACTGTAAAGCACAGTCGTGCCCAGCATGCCGAGCTTGGCATACTCGGTGCACTGGCGCTGCGCGTACGCAGCAGTGACGGATGCCTCGTCCTGGCCATAGGATGTCGACGTGACGAATGGCGGGGTCAATATACCGCAGGATGCAGGCCCTGATTCAACGTGCAGCATGAAGACATCAACCTTCATTGACACAAGCGCTACTGACCGTTAAACCCTCCGGGAAGTGGGTCTGGGTAAATACCATCCTGGAGACAACCTTCAGCACTGTTCGCTTGCAAGTCATCGCCGGGAAGTGCACACCTGAGTGGGATCGTCGCCGCCTTCAAAAGTACAGAAGGATGCATCAACAGCGTCGAGCCAGTTGTCGAATGAGGCGCCCTCAACCAGGTCTCCAGTCTGTAGTAGTAGAATGGGCTGAGGGTTGGTAAGACCGAACGCGTATTGAAGGTCGAGGTCGCTCTCCCCATTGAAGTCAAATCCGGTGTCGTCCGTCTGGTCAACGCCTCCGTCGATCGAAATGAGGATCGGCGCCGTGCCGACTTGGGAGGGAGAAAAGTTCCTGGAAGCTCGGTATCATTATGGAGATGACGCAGAAACGGAGTCTGTGTGACCGACGCGAAAAACATGTCCAGGTCGCTCTGCAAAAACGCCTGGGGAGTGAACTCAACTACACATGCCGGATAAGCAAGCGGCCATCCACTACGCCTTTGGGAGGAACTCACGAATGCCGAAGGTGTTCGTGTCCGTAGAGACAGGCGTATAATCGATCGAATACAACGCCCTTAAGCAATCGAGAGTAATCTCTTCGTCGCAGGTCGATAGGTCCTGAGGTACGGTAGCAAGAGGCGAAGTGTCAGCCTTCAGCTTCGGACCCTGTTTGATGTGAGTTGAAGGCCGCTCGAAGGAACGCTTCCGAAGCTGGTTAGGGGTCGGCACGCGATGAAGGAAGTGCACCGTGGGCTTGATCAAGTCGATATGCTCCCGAATGTCCTCAGGCACCGAGTATGAGTGGCAGCCTACCGCGAATATCGCATGCGTCAGCATCGTCCGAACGGCCTCAGTAGTGGGGTTTTCATGACTGGCGGGCTCACCGATCTGCTGCGCTCCAGTCTCGGGGTGCGTGTACACATGGTACTCGGCGTTAATAAGCGTCTCCGCCTCTTCGACCGTTGCGTCTACCTCGATCCAGCCTTTGGACTTGCTCAGCTTCAAGCGTGACCTGTCGATCCCAGAGTCGGTGAGCCACTCGACGACGCGTTCGATTGTATCGGTGCTCGGCGCGAAGGTGTCGACGATCTCCTTCGCGGTGAAGTGCTGTCCATATGTGGGAGAAGACGGGTGCGAGACGGACATGAGCATCTCCTCGACCTTATGCAAGTTGCTCTGTGTGAGCCCGAAGCGCATAGGCAGCACCGCGCTCGGTTCGAGTCGACGTGTGAGCACCCAGTCGCGGGGCTCCTGGGCGCGCTTCTCATGCACGACCAGGTTGGAGCGCCGGGTTATGGAGGGTGCGGCGATCGCGAGGGTGGCGAGGGCAAACGCCCAAGTCAGAGAGAATAGACGCATGGCGCGTGGGGTGCTGAGATGGGTTTGAAGGGTCAGGGATGACTGCGCCTGGAAGCTACGGGTGGTGGAGGGGTGTCCCGCTTGCCCAGCATGCTGCGCCTGCGAGCATATAAGGGTGAGACGAGGACATCTTTAGAGGACGTAGCACACGGGCAATACACGCACCTAGCTGGTGTGACTGTGAATTTCCCTCAGACGTTTATGTGGGATGTGAAAGCGTTATCTCGGCTACTATCGCACGAGACTCGTACCTTGCCATGGTTCACGCGTTACCTGCAGGTCAGAACCGCTGGATACCCAGGAAGCGTCCACACGCAAACACGTCCACAATGGCATGGGATCAGAGCAGGGAATTGCCTTCATTCGAACCAGCGTTGGAACTGGTGATCTGAATATGGTTCCCACTGGCAGAAGAGATACCTCATGGTAAAGAGCCTGGTGTGGATGACTACGACATGCCCGTAGTATTGGGAAGATCCGACAAGAGCTGGCACTGATGCCGGTGATGAGTCTTGATTACAAAAATACGCCGCGCCATTGTGCCGAATTGAGAGAACACCACGACGAGTACATGCCAGCACAGCCTGGGTATTGCATCAGTATCGAGACCTATCAATCTGCACGAGTGTTGAGGTGCGGGGATTGCACTCAAACGTGACCTACCTTTGTAGAGAGTCTCGCAAGAGCGACGCATTGTAGTGTCTAAAGTGCGCGAGCAAAGCCGTTATACTAGTTAACCGTGGCTACAATACGACAACTTTCAACTAGTACGGTAGTCGGAGGCCCGGTATCGCTCTCACGGTCACGTTTCCCGGCAGTGTTTCTCGAAGGCGCTTGCACCCGCTGCATTCCATGCCCACATATCGAGATACAGGACACAGACCACGGATACTCTCACTAGTCGTCTCACGACCCGGAGATACCTATACTACGATCGACTGGACGATACGATACGCATCTGTGTAACCGCTACTGTGACTGTAAAACGTCGAGCAAATGCAATTGCCAATCGTAGTAACATAATCGAATACATCAATCATGAGTAAGATGGATTGGCCCAAAGGGCGACAAGTCAGGTAGAGCATCCGAGGCGTTATACTGTATGACAGGTGATTATATGACGGAGGTTAGGGTGTGCTGTTCCTCGCTCCCCGTAGGGCGAAACTAAGACCACTCGCATATACTATGAACTCGGGCATCACTAGTATCGTGAGGCAAATCTATAGTAATGGAATCAAGCTGAGGCACCGCCAAAAATACGCGAGTGTCACAAGGCGGAGAGTCGTTCCTCGCTAGGGAAGCTCGAGACGTCTCGTCCGTCAGATCCCAGCTCGTCTAACGGACCGAGGTCGACGACAAGAGCCTGTTGCTAGGCGTCTTTCCCTGCTTCCTAGAGCAATGTTCTCCGCCGGAATTAGGGTCGCGGTCAGGACTCGCAGGTGGAGTACGTTGCTGCATGTTCAGGACGTCGTCCGAGTGCTCGGCTAAAACCGTGGGTTGAAGTGTCAACTGTATTTGGATGGCTTTACCCATTAGGTCGACGAGGGTGTCCTTCTCAGCGAGCTTCCGTGAGTAGTTCTGTGGAGCGGTCCGAGCTTCTTTAAGCGCGTCCTTGTTAGCGGCCGACTCGTAAAGTTGGAGATTGTGAGCATCCTTGTATTCCTCCCTCTCCAGCTGGAGGGTCTTCACCCGATGGATCTGGCTCTGGGGAAGGCATCAACCACAATGCCCCTGATCGCGCTTCGCGGACCTGACACTCACATGGAACGTCTTGAACTTGTCGCAGCTTGTCCGGGGCGTGGCCATTTCTTCCTGAAGGTGGCATATCGGCGTAGTAAGCTCAACAATCGCGAAAGCGCCATGCTTAAACTCGATGATTCGATGCATACCTTGAGGATCTTGTTCTCAGAGGTCAACATCTCACTGACCTTCGTCAGCTCCTTGCACTTCGCCTCCAAGACCTTGTGTGCTGCCGCAATCTTCCTCTCCTTCGCCGCTGAAGAGGGGATTCGCGTCCTTGACCGAGCGATAGCAGCCTCCTTCTCTGCGACCGCCGCATCTCTCTCCAATGTCATCGCAACAAGAGCGCGTTCAAACGTGGCGCACGCAGCGACGGCAGCATCCAGCTCGGCGTTCGTCATATGCGTCTCGGCTACAGGGGCATCTCTTTCGATCTTCCCGCTAGCGACCACACGCTGCTCCTCGTCCCGCTGAGCGATGGCGGAACACTTCTCATGCTCTGCAGCGTCCCTAGTAGCCGAGGCGTTCTGAGCCAACATGTCATTGATGGCAGCGAGCTGGGTCACAGCGAAGTCGCGTTGCGCGGCCGCCTCGAGCTTCTCGGCGACGGCGACGTCTCTCTCGGCGGTCATGCTAACAAGGGCCCTTTCGGTTGCGCCTTTTTCCACGACCGCCGCGTCCCGCTCAGCAGTCACCTTGGCGAGGCCAGCGCGATGTTTGATGGTGCGAGCGGAGTCGTCCGCAAGATGGACCTCGCGTTGCTCCCTGAGACGCTCGACCTCCTGCTTGAGGTCCGCAACCTTGGCCCGCAGCGCGTCCTCGGTGGCAGAGCCACACCCGTCGGAAGCACGAGCCGCGGGGGTGACGGGCGCCCGCGTGCTCTCGAGCTCAGCGGCGAGCTTGTCCTGGGCCTCCAAGAGCTCGTCTCGTACAATCGTGAGGGTGCTTACCCGCTCGATGAAGACAGCTTGATCACCGGCATGTTTAGACCTCTCTGCTGTAGTCGTCCTGTTGACTTCTACGACCTCCTGCTCTAGTTCGATGACCTTTCGCTCGCGTGCGGGGTGGAGGTCTTGCGCGGCCGATGTAGTGCGGCAAGTGGCATTTTCCTTCTCGAGCCTCGCGATAGCGACTCTGAGCGCGGCGTTCTCGGTTGCGAGCCCAACGTTGTTATGTCTGAGCGCGGCGTTGTCCCCGGTGAGGGTCATGTTGTCCTGCATAAGTACGGCGTTATTGTCGCTAAGCCCGGCGTTGTCCCGCTCGAGCGCAGTGTTGTCGTCACGGAGCGTGGTGTTCTCCTGGTCGAGTGCAAGGTTGTCCTCTCTGAGTTCCGCGTTATCGTGTTCGAGCGCTGAAACGCGTTCGATTTGCTTCGCAAGGTGGACCTGCCGGTCCTGGTCGAAGATGAACAGAAGATACGAGCCCGATTCCACAAGTTTAGTGGCCTGTGCACCGATGCATGTGAGTCGTCGTCGTCGACGCATGCAAGCACGACTCGCCTTGTTCGTCCACAGGTCAAACGTGTCAGCCATCCCAAGGATGATACGGAGAGTTTCAGCCGAGGTGCCGTACTTGGGAGCGATCTCTTCGACGTAGCGGCGAGCGGTGAAACCCGTGGCCTTGCACCAAAATATGTAAGCAAGCATGGTGAGGGCTAGGAGGATGGTGAGAGGATCGATCTTTAAGCTGTACACGATGAACATGGGAATCGCAAGGACGTCATGGAGTTGCGCAGCGATTGAAGCCATGTTGGAAGGGAAGGCTATGATGAGAATGGGGACTGTTCAAGAAACGTAGTGCCTGCTGGTTTGTGGTGCAGCAGCAAGGCGAGTGGTTCAGAGTGTGGAAGGGAAGTGTTCTCTGCAGTGCGAGACGTCGTTGATGGGTCGTTCTTGTCCTACGACTGTTGCGCGATGTAAGAGGGACCGAGCCCAGAGTGGTAAATGAGAGGCAAGCTGTTTATGAAGTAGGACGCTGTAGATATTGGGGTATAGAATGAGACGGCAGGGCTAACTGATCCTGTTCGGCACAGTCAGCCCCCACCAGCTTCCGTCGATCACAGACATCACGGACGTAGAAGCCGAACAGGAACCGCAGCTCGCGAGATACCCTCTACCTGAATGTCTGCAACCACTTCCCCGCGACATACAATACTCTGCAGGCTTCGTTCGAGAGCATGGCTGACGATCGTGCCCCATGAATGGCATCATGTCCTAACACATAGCATTGGCCCACGGTGGCTACCTGACGATCGGCCGACAGGTGAAGAGAGACTGGGGAGTCGGTTTAGAGACGAGCCCGTGGACAGTGAGGTTATGAGAATCAACACAGGAGAGTTCTGCAAGACATGCTGATCATTATGTGCAGAAATTGGAATACGTGGCGTACAATCGACACGCACCTCCGGCCAAGTGTGCCACACTAATACCGCTCAACTCCCGCACTACGACATTTACGGGGATGCAGACTGAGGAGCATCTCGTTGAATTGCCGCCCAGAGAAATACTTGTCCCGACACCCTAAGATGAGCAGAATTCCTCCATCGTAAACCGTCCATCCAGCCACTCAGCGGTGTCCTTCCGAGAGCACAATCTTGTCCTGTCGTCGCAAGCATTCTTAATAGCTCCATGCATGTACTCGACATACAGGATAGAAATGGAACAGGTGGCCCAACAGATATACGTTGAAGTGTCACAGTGAGTAGCACACCTTGTCGTACACCTCCCGGCGGATTATACTCAAGCCCTGCCGCTCAGCTGGGGGACATGAATAACGCCGAAGACAGCCTGGAAGATAAGCTCGAGGTAATCACGGCTCCATTCGTACCACGCTTCTTCTGGCCCGGAGAAGGGTACCTGAGACCGGCGGAACATCCTCTGGGTCAGGCTGCCTTTTCTCGCACCCGAGGTCCTCAAATCCACAAGCCTCGACCGATACTGTTGGATAGCGAGAGCCTTCGCATTCTATCGTTTGAGACGTCATTGTTGGACAATGCTCGCCATTAGGACTGGTCAGAAGGACCCGCTCCGCCTGCCGTAGATTGTGCACGCCCCGTCTGGGCCGCATGCCGAGTCCTCTTCGCGCTGAAAGGGTGCTGACGTCACAAGGTGGTCTTCATCGACACCAAAGAGTACTTGTCGTCTAAATACAAAGAGGGTATTGTGGCCAAGAAGTCACGAGATATGCTCACTGCGTCGTCCCCTTAAGTACGATCCACTTTCCAATTGTTGGGCCGCCATTGGAACGCGAAATGTTCGGGTATTTGGGACTTGAAGCCGAGACTGGTCGCACGGGGAACGCTGGAAGTATAATAGGAGAGCTGGATTCTATGATTGCATGAAAGATGAAGATGGCGTTGCACCACAAGAAGTCCGCAATTTATGGTACGGACGAGGACAGCCGGCAATGTCCGCCCATCACTATGCCACGTGGCCTTTTTCCTCCGGGCTGCCCGGAGCGAGCTGAGGCCGACATTCTGCAAGCCTAACAACCCTCATATATGATGCATGCTACGCTTGATTGTCTGAACAGTACTACGTACAGGCATGCTTACATTAGACGTGGAGAAGACACAGCATGAGATAAGCTCACCAGGTGCCGTATGCATCACGCCTTGATCCCTCGACATCCTGACAACCTCGTCCAGCAATGCATATGTTCGCATCAGAGACGTAATCGAATCAATCTTCGACATTGCTTGTCATCTTATTGACCATGTCCACCGATTGAGCCCGAGAACCGCAGCGGAGTGCGTTGCTGCAAGAGAATCCCCCGATTGCGCGCACTGCTCAGACGACGGGCTTACGTTGGAGGACTATCTTAATTGCCAGTTGATGCCAGCATGAGCAGAGTCGAAAACGAGGAAGACTTCAGGGCTATGTTTCCAGTAGGGCCGCTCAATTCTTGAGGACGCAGGACGCAGGACGCACTCGGAGCTCATTTGATGGATGTGATGGGCTAGCCGAACCTGCCGCATATGGCAAGGTACCAACCTCATCTCTGGTGCCCGTTGTTTTCCAAGGGGTCTGTCGTGTCCCAAACCTAACAGAAAAATATGGATCGCGAGTATGTTGAAGAAGAAGGCTTTCCGCGTCGATTGACACTACCCTTGAGGCACTTTGTGAGGGGGGATGAGTGTTATCGTCGCTCAAGGGGTTTCGAAGGCGAGCTCGTCGGCTAGTCTCGCTTAGCCCATCACCTCCATCAATGGCCTCTGAACGCGTCCTGCGTCCTGCGTCCTCGAGAATTGAGCGGCCCTAGTGAGATACAAGTTTCGGGAATCGGGAAAGCTTGGGGACAGAGAACAGCCAAGATAGTCGCCGAGTCATCCGAACGACTTACATAAGCGACGAGTGATCAAGTGCGAATGCGCTACCGTTGTGTCTCCCTTCGCCGTTCCGTTCGCAGATCGTCACAAAAGGAACGACGAGTCCCGCGCGCGCGCAAGCAAGACGATCTCACATGAACGATATCTATTCCCCAGAGCATGCTCCAGACGTTTCAAAATGCTTCGAGCTCTTAGACTTCGACCCTAGTCCTCCTCTGCTGCTGTAGCCTCGTATCGCTCGGTGCTTCTGGTTATTGACGTCCTGCTGGAACTCAAGCGCTACTTTGACTACGACTGCTGGGACATCCGTGACGGTCCAGAGCTGGGCATGTCAGGCCGTCTTCGCTATCACGGTGAGCCCGTCCCTCCAGGCGAAGGCAGCGTTCTATCACGTCCCTTCTTTGTCTAATGAACACATCCCAAGATTGAGAATTCAGGCTACTTCCGTGAGTGTAAACCTCTATCTACCTGACACACTCCTCGCACTCCTAAGGGCTACCAGCTGGTGTCGTCTCCGCGCTTATGCGACACGCTTATTGAAGCCCGATGTACACGATGTACAAGGTGGTGGTCGAACACCGTGGTACGTTGTGCCGTGTCTTACTCGCGGACGACGTATACTTCTCAATCTTCGTGAACACCAATCATCCCCACACATCCCCCTAAGCAACGTATCAGTAGAGAGCATTCTGGATGTGAACCTGGACTTTGGCTACCTCTCTCTGTCTCTCTTCCTACCGCTCCCGGACCTCTTATACTTGCGTGCCACTCTCAGATTCATGCCCTACAGCGCTATCTCTCTTCTCCGGCCTGCTGTGTCTTCGGACTTTTCAGCTCAGCCACGCACAGCTCCATCCGCAAGCACACGGCCTTTTCCATCCAGTAGTGCCGAGATTCTAGGGCATCTTGACGTTGAACTCGAGGTGATATATACACCTTTCGGCCACCCTCGCAGCGGATTCAGTGCCTTGACCCCTCAGCGACGGGTGCTACGTCCTCTCCGCCTCTCCCTTCCTCACTAGCCTTACCACTACCGAGATGTCACGCTCATGGACTTGCGCATCGCCGGCGCGATATGGACTCAGCACTTCCCGCTCCTCTCGGCCTTCTCTTGTCGGCTTGCGCCCAATCTCGCTGCATCTCGCGGACGTCATAGCGCCCCCTGGTCTGTCTCCAAGACATGCGCGACTTCAAGCTCATCTTTGTCCGACGCCCAAGCGAACATTCGCGACGAGGATCTAGTCGACGTTGCTTAACGGTGGCTGCTCCTCACCTCCCTCGCCCCTTGTCACCACAGTAGGAGAGCTGGTTTGGGACGCCGACGCCGACGGCCCGGCCGTCCCGACGCTCGAAGCGCACTCGCACGCCTGTGCTTTCCACACCATGTCTTTTCGTTTGGGCGACCTGCGAATCTCCGCGGCGTCGAAGTGCGCGAATGGAGATCATGGATCGTGGGAACTCATGGTGAGGTGGAGGGGCTACTTAGTCGCAGCTGCACTTGTTGACGGGATGTGAGAATCGCGAGGGGTTATGGGGAAGTTTACTCGAGCAGGAAGGAATCCTGGAGCAGCTTGTCCTAAGGATGACACATGAAAGTACGATAACGCATGCCTTTCTTGTTCTACATACATCTCACCATATCCCTACGCAAAGATCGTAGTTTCTGCAGCGATCCTGTTGTTGAGAGCAGAGCCCGATGCGTTCGGTGAGTTGTTATAATGAGATGTTGGAGATAACATCCTCTCACTGCAGTGGTGTCCACCAGTAGTTATCGTACTTCTCGATTACCAGGGAAGCCCTCTTTTGTTCGAATCCGGACGCAGGCGTGCATACCGGCGCGACCCTTAGTAGGGGTATTCTAGGTCATTCGAGTGTTTTGAACCTAAAAATGCGGGACAGAGCAGGGACCAATGCCGTCGTTGTGCCATCAGCCGCTTTGTGAGTCAATGCACATATGTAGTTCCCGTTGTGTGAGAGATCTCGACCCAAAAAGACAGCATCAACTCCATGAGTCGCCTATTGTTGATTTTCACGCACATGATAAAGCGCCGGGATCCTCTAACCACACCACTGCTTACGCGCTTGCGGGCGGCTGGTCGTGTTGCTCCTTGTTCACTTTCATCACCATGGCCAGCGATTTTCCGCCAACTTATCCTCTCGATGGTGTCGAGGCGACCCCGCGCAAGTACGACACCGCCACTCTCTCCATTGGTAGAGTAGCCAATCTCAAGACATGTCGGCTGCAGGCCACGAATGAGCTTACCGGCCAAACAATCAAGATCGACTCAGTCACTGAGTTCCTCGAGGCCTTTCTTTCGTTGCCTTCCAATGTCCCTGAGTGTCCGACACGCACGTCGAGCCCGTTCGAAACCCTTAAGGATGCCGACTCTATGGTTGAAAGCACTATCACAGAACGACTGGTACGTTGCTGATCTTCTAACCACAAGTCTTATCTCACGCGGCTTCAAGGTGGAGGCAATCACCACGCATGAGCTCTGCCCAAGTCTGGTGATGAGTCGCTCTGAGAAAAGGCCCGATTCCTTGGAGATTGACTCGACCAGGCAGAAAGTCGACGCCGCGTTCTTCCATCCACAAGACGCTCCGAAGGACGGGTGCCCGCACTGGGTGGACCAGGTAGTGCCTGTAGAATTCAAGAACCGCAAAGAAGGCAACAAGTTTGACCCGTTCGACGACCGCGTACAAGCTCAAACCGAGACCAATGCAAAGAAGCGCAAGGACACCCGAGGGCAGATCATCACATATGCCGATCTCCTGTTCTATCTTCAGCACCGCGTGTTCCTCTTCATGCTCCTCGTTATCGGTCGTCGCTTCCGACTGATCCGCTGGGATCGTTCTGGAATCCTTGTCACGAGGTCCACCGACTACTACGAAAATCCTCAGCTTCTCTGCGAGTTCCTGTGGCGGATCTCCTCCGAACCACAAGAGGCGCTCGGACTGGATCCTACTGCGACTCGACTTACATTGCGGCCGAACCTCACGAACGAGATGGATGACGTGCTCGATGAGCTCCGGAAGCTCGCAGTAGACCACAATCCATCCAAGCTCAATGAGCCACTCCCCGAGGGCTACGTCTTCCAGTACGTCCTCGATATGTTCGCCGAGTCGATTCGATGCCCCGAGTTTCCGCGATACGAGCTTCGAATCACAGACGGAAGAAACACTCACAAGTTCCTTGTTGGAAAGCCGGCATACCGTGGTTCGGGCGCATTGAGAGGATGCGTACGTGGTTGGGTGGCTTTGGATCTCGAGAAGAAGCGCTTCGTGTGGCTCAAAGACACTTGGCGTGCATGGGGCGAGTCTATCGAGAAGGAAGGAGATGTCCTTCTACGCTTGAACGAAGCTCATATCGAGGGTGTACCAACTGTGGTATGCCACGGAGACGTCGAAAAACAGGTGACGGTGACGGCCACCTGGTGGGGACGCGAGACCTCCGCTCCTCGGTGCGAACCATCTCCGACGACGACTTTGCCGACAGGGCCAGCTGGTCCTAGTACTAGCTCCTTGGGTTTTGTCTCCCCTTCCGCGCGGGTATCAAGCCCGTTTTCCGTTACGGATACCCATGTACTTGACGGAGGAGACCAGACCGCGGATGTGCTCGAGACTCGGAACAACGAGAAAAAGCGCAAACGGGATAGTCCAGAGCCAGGCGATCCCGGTGCCTCTTCTCAGACAGGAGAGGGAGATATCACTCCTCCTCGCTTCCGTGCCGATTGTCCATTGCAGGACTATAGGCACTATCGTCTTGCCGAGAAGGAAATATGCCTTCCCCTGAAGAGGTTCCAGGACGCACGGCAGCTTGCGAGGCTTGTAATGGATTGCATCCTTGGTGAGTCAAATTTCCCGTTGTCGCTGGTACCGTTGTTGACCCCTTGCGTTGTAGCTCATTACCACGCCTCGGCATCCAACAACCTAAAGATTCACGTTCTCCACAGGAATATCACTGATAGTCATATCATGATCTACCCCAAGGTCGAATCGACAAAGCAGGGTCTCGAGGTGGTGTGGAGGGGTATGCTCATAGATTGGGAGCTTTCCAAACCCATTGTCGGTCTAGATGGAAGGTCGCAGGCACGTCAGGCAATGTACTGTGTACGTATTGCGTTGCCCTTGCGATGATTCTCCTACTGATTCCCTTTTGCAGGTCGATTGGCAATTCACATCCGTCAGTCTCCTCGTGGACGGTTCACAGCCTGTCCGGATCTGCGATGATCTGGAGTCGTTCCTGCTCATCCTGATATATTACGCCGTCCGCTACCTTCAGTCAAACCTTGACGATCCGGTAGACGTGGCGACATTTCTTCATAATGTGTACGACTGCTATAGTCGCTACAAGAAGCGAATCGTTGCTGGGCAGTACAAGGTTACGATATTGTGCGGGGAGGGTCGGCTCGTCTACACGCACCCGGCGTACCCCGATGCCTTCAACATCGTCTTCAATAATCCCGCTTTGGATGGGCTGATCGCGAGTTTACTCTCCCCCTTCAAGTCGTACTATAAGAAGTGTTATACGCCGCTGTTTGAGTCGCTCGATAGAAAGCCCCTGCAACGTTCGCCATTGGTCCGCGAAGGCTCTCCTTCTCCGCCACCTCGAAAGGCTGCCAAGCTCGATATGCCCTCTAGTAACGTTGCTTGTCCCGAAAAGAAAACAACCGAAAACGTTCAGACAGCTCCCAGGCCGACTCATTCCATGGTGCTCGGGTCCTTCAGGAAGGCATTAAGGAGTTTATGGCCTTACCAGCCCTCTGTTGGAGACCGCATTGCGCTATTAGACTGCGAGTCTCTATTTGACACCGAGCCAATTGTGTTGCCAGGTGGTGTGCGACCTGGGCAGGAGATTCCTGACAAACTGTGAGAGAAGGTAAGGGATTGTCGGTTTCGTCGTTGATAAAATCCAATTGACACTTCATACCATCGCTGCTACTAGGACCCCCGGCCTTCCGCTTTGCAACTCCCCGGGCGCTCAACGCCCCTGCGTTCAGGACGCGGTCGGATGGGCACCTTGACCGCCGCTTCGTCTTTGTATCATGCATTGTATTAGCGTAGATCTCATTTTGCTGTAGCGTTGTCCGAGTCACGCCATCTTACACTGTCAAATTGAGTTGTAGCAAGAATGAGTTGTTCCTGTGATGTGCTGGCAGGTATGCGTAGATGCCCACATACCTTTCATATCGTATCTTGGTGCAGAAAGACATTCCAACGGTTGAAGGACTAGGCGAAGCTAGAGATAGAACCTTAGACTCGGAGTGAACGTGCAACGGCCTCTGGGCGTCTCTATGCATCATAGCCGATCCCGGATACGGCAGATAACTCAAGCGCCCGAAAGTTCAACCGAACGGTCATTGTGCTCTTCTCTGTAACCACCGACGACAACCTTTGCTCTACTTCTACATCCATCTTACCTATCACCACTCCTCTCACATCTTTGCTGACTCCATCATATTCATATCCGACGTCTCCATACTCTGATGTCGTGCTCAGTCCTAGAACTCCCGAATGAAGACTTTCACCGTGCGTTCCTAGCATCCACGGAGCCTTTCCCGTGGAAGCAAAGGACGCACGAACAGTTCTTCACGACTCTTCAAGATGCAGATGAACTCTCCGAGCAAGATATCTCTGAGCGACTCGTAAGTTTGGATCTGGACCTTCGAGGGGCGATCTGACATTTGGAACAGATCCAGGCAATCAACAGCGGCTGTCTCGATTCTGGCTCACGACTTTCGCCCCAGGATTCCCGTGTCTTCTTTGACGCGTCTGAGAGTGTGAGGCATGCGGCGGTCTTTCGCAGCGAACACACATCTTCCCTGCCTTCTTGGTACGACCAAACGGTCCCGGTCGTATTTGCACGCCACTCCACCGGTGGCGACCCGTTCGACGACGCTGAATATGAAGACGAGTACGGCGAGATCCAAGAAGAAAGGGACAAGGTTATGAAACACGCCATGACGGTCGTGGAGTACCTCTTCGCTGCCCAACATCGGGTCTTCCTTTTCATGATTCTCGTCATCGGTCGCCGCTTTCGTTTACTCCGCTGGGACCGTGCTGGGATCATTGTCACTCCCTCCGTCGACTACGTCGTAACGCCCTCCGAACTTTGTGACTGCCTGTGGCACCTCTCCCTTTTCGATGACGCTGCATTAGGCTTCGATCCAAGCGCTACCCGCGTTCTCCCCGGGGACGTTGACCACCTGCGAATGGACCTCGCTGCCATGAAGAGCGCACACGATGTGGATCATACCGAACGCACCCTCAATATGGGCGAAGCGGAGGGCTCTGTGATCTTCGAGTACACTCGGACCTTATTCCGCTCTGCCCTTGCCCCCCAATGGCCCCGCTACAGACTCGAGGTCACCGACAATGGAACAACGCGTCACTTCCTCGTCGGGAGACCTGTATTCCGCGCAGGTGGGACAGCAGGTCGCGGGACACGCGGTTACGTCGCCTTGGACTGTCAGACCCGTCAGTTTGTGTGGCTGAAAGACGTGTGGCGGGCGGCTTACATGGTGGCCTCGCGCGAAGGGGACGTCCTGCGGAAGCTCAACGAGGCTGGGGTGGAGCAAGTGCCTACGCTTGTCTGCCATGGCGATGTCTGCGATCAAGCGACAGTTACCACTGAGTGGTGGGAGCGTAAGAATGCTTCCTCTATCCCGTCGCCATCTCTGCAACCTGCGGCTGCAGCACATTCATCGTCTCGGACCCTGCCTGGATCCGCGTCTAGCGGCAAGAGGAAGAGGGAAGACGACACGGGGAACGACGTAGCGCCATCGCGACGTCGCGGCAGACGTAGCCGGAAGGGGGCCATACTTTCCAATGGTCCCTTGAGCCAGCACAAGCACTATAGGGTAGTGGTGAAGGAAGTCGCTCTGCCACTGAAGCACTTCCGGAACGGGAGACAATTGGCTTCCGTTGTCTTGGACGGCATTCGAGGTGAGACTTCTGGGACATGTAACTCTTCCTATGCTGATGTATCACTGTGTAGCCCATCACCAAGCGGCTACGAACCCCAAGACTCGATTGCTTCATCGTGACATCAGCGGCGGAAACATCCTCATATATCCCAAGGTCAAACGTGACAGCAACGGAACAAACCCTGCGATAGTCTGGACCGGTCTCCTTGTCGACTGGGAGCTGTCGAAACCCATTGACGATGACCAGACGCCATCGAAAGGGAGTCAAGCGGAGCACATGGTGAGTGCTTACCAAGGCGCTTTTCCGGGAAATGCTGACAGAAATGTACAGGGCACATACCAGTTCATGTCTGTCAACATCTTGAGGGATCCTTCGCAGCCGGTTAAGGTCTCGGATGAGCTCGAGTCGTTCTTCCATGTCCTCCTCTACTATTGTGTCCGCTATCTTTGCTCGAATTGCGGATGCCCGACATCTTACATCGAAAACTACTTCGAGAACTATGCCGGCCCAGGGCGCTGGCATACGTGCGGGTGGAAGTCGTTAGCTATGCAAGAGGACGACTTCCTGAGCAATCATTTCCCTCCGTCTCCGCTCCTGTTCTACAGTCCGATGGACGAGATACTCGGGACCATCCTGAGATGCTTCCAGTCGCTTTACAAAGTCAGGAAGGACGACGCTCGGAAGGCGAGAGGTCCGCCGCCGCCGAAGCTCCCGCCGCTCGAATCTTCCGACAGCCGGCTGGCACCAATCGGGGATATTCCCGAGATTCCCTTCTTCGGCGACGACGCGGAGCGGATGGAAGCCGAGGTGCCTGCCCCTCCACCAGTAGATGACGACTCTCCAACCCCGGAGGATCGAGAACGAGCGTTGAAGGTCCATGACCATTGGTTCATGATCGAGCACATCACGAAGACGCTCAGTAGCTCTGAGTGGCCAGACAACGATCGGGAACCCTCACCTGCTGTCAAGACGCAGACTTCCGTCTCTGGATCTCATGGCCAGAGTGCGAGCGACCGAGCGTCCCGACCTACGTACGTGAGCAACAAGCGACGGCGGATCGCTGGGCCTGAACGCAACGTCTCCCTTCCTGCGCGCCTCCACGCGTCGACACGGCGCACGCGCGTCAAGCCGTGCACCCTCCCCGTGAGGGCTGCGCCATAGCATCTATTGGGAACGCTTGAGTGATGTCTTATCATTTTCCCCTCTCCGTCTCTCCCGTGTTGTCCGCTCCGCCCTTTTGGCGTGCCCACTCTTTCGTCGAATGTAGTACCTCTTCGATTCTTTGCTATCTCTGCTCACCTCGTGCGCTGTGCCGCATTTAGAGACACAGTATCCTGTAACACTAGCGACATTCTGCCTTGATCTCTGTTCATTCCATAACTTATCGCCTCACTGTTTCCCTGTATCACACCTAGTAGAGTAGCCTCAGTATAGTATACATAAATCATTTGCTTTTACATCTATATCTGGAAGACGTGGGATGTGTGGGATGCATCAGACCCTGATATCGCGGCGCTGCGACCGTCGGGGTGATTCAACGTCTTGAGCAGGGATGTGCTCGGCTGGGTCAGACCCCGAGTCAGACCCTGGGGTCAAGCCGAGAGGGTCAAGGGGTCGAGTCAATTTCATTGTTTATTCCTCCATTCCACTGATTACCGCTACAGAGGCAAGGAACATTCTAAAGCACATAGTGATGACCCAGCGACATCGAATACTAAGACCTCGAACCTGCTTCTAGTCACAAGTTGGAACCGCGCACCGAACCACAATAGAGAGTCTAAAGCGGGGACGATACTAAGTGTTGTAGTACGGACCTCACGCGTCTTTTCTTTGTTTGTTTGCTCTTTGTATCACTGTTGCAGCGCTTGACGTGCCAGTCAAGCGCCACTACGCTTTGCTACTCTACACTATGTATATATGTCGCGGCTTCCTTTCCATTGCAATCATCAGCTTCTCTTCTTTTCTCTCGATCACTCTCACGCCTGAACTCTAACAGGTTATGAGCCCTGCTTAGGCTCTAACTGAGGATCTCTACGCACCACTGCTTATCTTATCTTAATCTGTCAACAAAAGAACATGTCCACCGCAGACGTTATCGGCCGCATTCGGATCGACCCGCTCACCGGAGTTGAGGACTGGGCATCCTGGAAGGTCCAAATGGAGGATCTTTTGTATGGGCTAGGACTGTGGGACTATGTCACCGAGAACGGCAAGCCGAAGCCCGCGGTCGCGACGGCCCCGACGGAAGCGGAGAAGAAGCTCTTGGAGGAATGGGCAAAGAAGGATCGGAACGTGCTGATCGCCATCCGAATGCGGGTGAGCAAATCATTGGTTCATACGCTAACTCGTTGTAGTTCTAGTGCGGAGGCCTGGAATCGCCTCGTCAAGAATTACGAGCCGAAGGGAATTTTGCACGTCGTGCAAATTCGCCGAAAGCTACTACAAGCAAGATATTCGGATTCAGAAGACGTAGAAGTTTTCCTACAGGAAATGGTCCGCTTGCGCGAAACGCTCGCGACCATGGGACACGACCTCACGGACGAGGAGTTTTCGATCACACTACTGACGGCGTTGCCCGAGAGCTGGGACGCCATGGTGAGTTCGATCAACCACACCAAGGACCTCGCGGATGCGGACGAGATAGTGGCGCGCATCAGGCAGCACGCCAGCCGCATCAACGACTCGGAAGTCGCGATGACCGCTCGCGCGAAGAAAAGGCGCGGACTGCCTCCCTGCTTTACGTGTGGCAAGCCCGGTTACGCTCGCGACTGCCCGAACCACG